AGGTGAGGAAGGAACACAACTGCTTCTCATAGGAGAGTCGGGTTTGAGCACTTTCATTACTATGGTGCTCACGAACGGGAACTTGGCTTCCTGACAATTCAGGGGGTGATGGCACCGTCTGGGTATCATCATCCCTGTGGTAAATGCCATTACTCAAACCCCATGACCAAGCACTTGAGTTTTGCATAATGCTATTCTGGATGTAAGGAAGGAACACAACTGCTTCTCATAGGAGAGTCGGGTTTGAGCACTTTCATTACTATGGTGCTCACGAACGGGAACTTGGCTTCCTGACAATTCAGGGGGTGATGGCACCGTCTGGGTATCATCATCCCTGTGGTAAATGCCATTACTCAAACCCCATGACCAAGCACTTGAGTTTTGCATAATGCTATTCTGGATGTAATAAAGGAGTCATAGTTTTTTTCCGGAGAGTATGTGTATTTGTTGTGAGAGGCACACATAACTCTCGGAACAGAAATGCAAAAACAACTGCAGGGTTTTTCCTTCCCGGCTGTACAGACAGGGAGGCAGTAGCCGCTCTTCTGATCAGCATGTTAGACATTTCACTGAGTGATGCTTTAGGAGCTAATTAAACGATGGGATCTACAGCTAGATGAGATTGAAGGAAGCTTATTCTGAAGGTAGATGTGCAGTGGGTAGGGAAGGGCCTTTGTGAATTGAGATGAATGGGGAAACTGGGCTGTCACACAGCTTAAAAAGAGTTGAAGTCCTCAACAGTGGGACGGTCTTTGACCTCAATTTGCCATAGGAAATGTAGAAATGTGATGTGTTTCTATGGTACCATTCTTCTAGGGACCACAGACTATTTGGGCCAGGGCTTTTAGCTCAAGGGGATCAACTGTATTTTATTCTATTTTCCCCTCCTTATCTCTCATAGCTGGGGAGTACCCCAAGGGCCCAGGGTAGTCTTTTCTCTAAGACACAAGGGTTCCTTTAAGGTCCCATCGGCACTGAGGAGTCAATGGGACCAAAGGACACTAGGCTGGTCTCTGCGTGGAGCTGGAGCTGTGTTCATGTTTCTCATGCAGAGGCAAAGTCATGGATTCTGTCTATTCTGAGCAGTTTCCTTTGCCAATGGATGTGGGTGAGGAGGGGGCACAGAGGAGGGAGACTGACCCTGGCTCTTTCTCTTGGCAGATTCAGAAATGCCTACTTTATCTTTTTATGGAAAGGGCTGTGCTACTGAAACCGCTTGCAACTTGAACATGAACATGTTTGGCAATATGAAAATCCAGACCTCATGTACCGATGGGACCCCTCCATCCACGTCCATCTCAACAGCAACTACCGGGAGCCCTCCCCTCACGCTCATCTCATCAGTTTTGACTATTCTGCTGAAAGTCTTGCTTTGATGAGTTCAGGCCCAGGAATCCCGTGGTCCTCCACAGGAAATCCTATGATCCTACACACCTGAATACAGCTTCCTGGATCAGTTCCCTTCTGCAATGGCAGAAATAAAACCTTGTGACTCATTGTATTGTTCTGTACTTTAGTATACAACTCTGATCCATTTTCTGACACTCTTTCTCAGTCCATGTAGTCTGGGATGGCATCTCGGAGACTCTGAGACGGTTTCCACCAATACGTTGGGCCACAGATCTTGTGACACTCTGCTTTTCTGATTATTGATTTCTTTTCCTAATCCACAGTCAACAATTGTTAAGGAAAATGATAGCAGATATACAATTCAGGACCCAGGAGGATCGTTTCCCACAGTTTAATAAAGTCTTAAGTATAGCTGAGTGGCACCCATATATTATTCCAGCACTCGAGAGGCTGAGGCAGGAAGATCACTGTGAGTTCAGTTTAGTGTGGGTTATATAGTGAGTACCAGGCCAGCCAGTGATTCATAGGAACACCTGTCTCCCAAAATAAAATTGCATAAAAAGTAAATAAAAAAGAGAACCAGGTGCAACCAAACCTTGCACACCTATGAACCATGGATGTGGAGTTCTTCTTGTATACTCTGTGTTCCTCTGCTTCTCAGGAGGGATGGGCACCCAGATGCAGGCAGAGGCTGTCTAAGACAGTTTCAAATACTCAATTTAGAGGATGAAGATGCTTTCACCAAGATCCCAGAAAGCTGTGCCCTACATGCTGGTGTTTGGAACATTGGTGGTCACCACTACACTTCCTGTGATGCCTGTGAGGAGGTGGTGATGAGGGGGGTCCAGGAGAGAGAAAGACTACACAGAATCCAAACTTGTACTGTCTCAATGTGGTGCCGTCCTACAAGAGAATAATCCTGCTCAAACGGGCCCCTCAGTTCTCCAGACTCCCACCGGCCCTGCTTGTCTCCTCAGGTTGCATGGGGGAGAAGAGGCCCGGGATCATGTC